TACAGAACGGTTCGTAAGTTGGATGAGTCTGGCAGCAGCATTCATGATAGACTGAAGAGGGGATAGCCTGCGATGAGGTAGGCCAATGAAGAGAGAGTTACAATAGTCAAGGCGTGATATAACAAGGGAGTGAATAAGTTGCTTAGCAGTTTTCGAGGTTAGGAACGGCCGTATCTTGGAGATGTTGCGGAGGTGAAGTCTACAAGATTTGGACACGATTGGATTTGGGACTGAAAGGAAAAGCAATGACCACCTTCAGGTTTTCAAAGGGCATAATTTCCTTGTTTCCCTTCCTCACTACCTATCAGTTTCAGAGACCCTGAAATACCAGGATAGTCCAAAAAACACTTGTCATTTTATCAAAAACTTGTGGCAAAAAATAAAATTCCATGCACTCACACGCCTCTCAGCAAATACCTTGGGGTGCCTACTGTGTGTGTGTGTGGGGGGGGGGATTTGAACTGTCCCGGTATTTTACGTCCAACATTAAAAGCTTCTGCCACACATCACCCACTCTTCTAAGCACTTAAAGTGGAACTCATAAAAATTTGTTAAAAAATCTTTAGCAAGGAACATACATTCCGCATTAATAAATATGCTACTAAAATTAGTGTATGGTGTAAATTGCCTCCAGCATTGTTCCTGTTTCTTCTTGCTGTAGGCTGCCATTTTGCTGAAACCCAGAGCCCCTGAACAGCAGTAAAACCCATCAATTTAACAGTTTCAAAAGACAGTTCCTGGAATGCCAAGATTACTAACCGTCATAGTTATTTTTAATGTTTTACATAGCTATACATGCAAAAGGGGCCAGCCTGAAGTGATCTAGCAGGACTTAATTTTCTGAATAAAGTTCCACTTTAAGACCAAGACCAAGCCTTTTCTGACACTCATTATTATCTACATGAAAAAAATTAGTATTTTTGCTAGAAAATGACTTTAAACAACCAAACATGATATATTTTTTTAACACAGAAGCCCCAGTGAAGAAAATGGTGGGTGTTGCAAATATTTTATGCCACACAATATTTGCACAGCGATTTTTTTTTCTTTTAATGCACAAAAACACAATATATTGCCCAATTGTTTGGTAACATATAAAAGATGATGCTACATTGAGTAAATAGATACCAAACATGACATGCTTTAAAATTGCACACAGCCATGGAATAACAACAAACTATGTACTTTTTTAATATCCATAGGCGATACTTAAAAAGCCTTTACAGGTTACCACTTTGGGTGGTCGGCAAGTGGTTAAATATTAATGGTTATAAAAAAAGAAACAAACAAACAAACAAAAAATCAGCAGGAAAATAAGAATTAAGAAGAGAGTTAAACAGGATGTTCAGTTGTTTTTGAAAAATACAAAACTCAGCAGCTACAAATACTGCAGCTGCTGACTTTTAACAGACATTTATCTGTCCAGGCATCCAGTGCTGTCCTCAGCCAGGCTGGTTCTTGGCTGTCCCTCAGGTCACCACCATGTTCACTGTGGGAAGCCAGCTGTGACTCCTTGAGGCTTCGCAGGTGGCTCCCCCCATGCATACATGAGCTGCGCTGTCCCTGTAAATGTCCCTGCATCTGGTTGCAGGTGGTTGTGGGGGAGTACTAGGATTCCAGTGGGAGTGAAACAAAACTAGGTACGGTATTCGCTTCTCCCCAAAATAAAAAGTTCAAGAAGAGGAGGTGGGGAAGAGGGGGATCAAATAAACTTCCCTTTAGGGATGAAGCTCTGCTTTAAGTAGGGCGATAAGGGTAAATAAAGGGTTACTAAAGGGCAATTAGAAATGTTTATTTAATAAAAAAAAAAACTTTTATTTTTTTCTTGTCAGGTTGCTTTACTGACCTCATTTGCAGATTGAAACCTGTCACTTTGGTCTGAAGGTGAATGATACTTAGTAAATGCAAAAGTAACAGTTACTTTGTGTCTCTTTATCTCACATTTGTTTACATTGTGTCAGACAAACTGTTTTCTGACAGCAATAACTATTAGACTGCATTCACACTTCAGGGATTTGTAGCTTGAGCCCTGGTTCACACTGATGCGGTGCAGAATTTGCAGCAGTTTTCTGTGCGAATTCCACACCGCATCAAAATCGCACTCAGTTCATGCGAACCGCTGTGAGTATATATGTTAACAACACCCCGAAAGTGTTCCGCAAAACACGGTGCGATGTGCAGAATCGGATTGCATAGGTGTGAATACATATGTAATCTGATTCTAGTGCGGACCCAAAAAAGAGTCCTGCACCTTTTTGGCGTGGGTGCGGTGCGATTAGAGCCATACAAAATGTATGGCTCCAATCACACCGCACACAAATCGCATGTGCTTTGCGCAGGAATATGGTGCGGTTCCTGTGCGAATCACATGCGATATACCGCACCACTTATATGTGAACCCAGGCTGAAGCTCGAAGCTCAAAAAGGCTTGAGGAGAAAAAATAAATTATTCTCAATAGAGATGGTTCACATCTCCACTCCAAATAGCCTGAAGTTCAAACAAGTTCTGGAGCTTTTTTTGACTCTTAATTTGGGCAGATTTTTGCATTTTTGAGCGTCTTCAAATCTATAGAAATGAATGGAAACACGCAATTTGTGTGATTTTCTGCTCAAATGAAATAATGTTTAAAAATAAATAGTAATAATATATGCATAAATAAATGTAAAATAAGTAAAAAAAAACACAAATAAATTAAAATCATCATAAGCTACTTACGCCCCCCCCCCCCACCAAAGAAAATATACATTTTAATAACAGTAGAAAAAGATTAAATCAACAAAACATGAAACTGCTAAATTTCTTTTAATTTGCAAAAAAAAACTATATTGCCAAAAGTATTGGGACACCCTCCAAATCATTGTATTCAGGTGTTCCAATCACCTCCATGGCCACAGGTGTATAAAATCAAGCACCTAGGCCTGCAGACAGATTGCTTCTACAAACATTTGAGATAGAATGGGTCACTCCCAGGAGCTCAGTGAAATCAAGCGTGATACTGTGATAGGTTGCCACATGTGCAGAAGTCCATCCGTGAAATTTCCTTGCTGCTAATTATTCCACAGTCAACTGTTAGTATATAAACATAGCAGTAGTGCAGCGCATAAATAGAAAATAAATGAATGTCATAAAGATGGGTTAATGATAAATTATATCGTATGAACCAAATAAAAGTCCTAATGGATAGGAGAATAAATGGTATAAAAATGTCACTTCATATGATGAGATTCCAATAAGTGATTGAATCTGGGAGTGAATAGTCAGCCAGGGAGTTGAAAAACATCCGGTGTTGTGCGAAAGGTAAGCGGGATTGCAAACTCACCAGAAGCGCTAATTAAATGCGCATTAGATGATATAATCCAGCTTAGGGAACTCCCATCTAATGGAACCTGGTCTGGTCTAGATGTTGTCCACCTCTGGTAGTAAATCCAAGGTCCCTCTCCAGGATCATAAGGTTGGTCTGGTCATAGAATGTGTTCCATCCTCCGGGCTGGATGAAACCTGGATCCTGGGGTTTAGGTGCTCATAGTAGAGCCAGAAAAAAGGGGGGGGGGGTCTTGTAGTGTAGTATGATAAATGATTTTATTAAAATTAAAAAATGAATGCATAAAAGCAAGCACATATATGTGGTGAAGGGTGGTCACATACAGATGTAACACTCAAATGCAAAAGACCTGTGCTAGCAATGTTACTAACCAGTACAATAGTTGTAATGGCCGCTGGACCTCCGTGATCCGGCGGTTTGGCGTCTCTGGGTGGTGGGGCTCCTCCTTAACGCGTTTTATATAAACATATATCGTCAGAAGGGGTGATGCCTGACCTGATTGTAGACTGTACGCCCCTTGAGGGTTAGGGACTGATGTGAATGTACAATATATATGTAAAGCGCTGCGTAAATTGACGGCGCTATTTGTACCTGAAATAAAAAAATAAATATACAGTACATACACTAAATTGTCATGTGTGTGGACAGGCTGTCAGACAATTGTTCAGAGTAAAGATACCATCATTCCCTGTGTATAGGCCACAAAGAAAAAGCACTGGCCTGCGCTGCGTCCAGGCACTCCGAGGTGGCAGTGCAACCTAGGCAGCTGCCTAGTTTGCCTAGTGGAAGCTTCAATTCACCAAAGACTTTGAAGCCTTCAGACTCTGAAGCTTGATCCGGGATTACAAAACCTGGAGAAAACCCCACTGAAGTTGAGAACCACTGTTCCACATTGTTAAGGAAGCAGCCTATAACCCCTACTTCAACCTCATTATACATCATTATACATCAGCCTGCACATTCAAATGACTCATCTCTCTGAGAATGTAATGCAGACATGTGAAGAGAATAACTCCAGAGGAAGAGCTGCATCTGGCAACCTGCCACAAAAGCCCAGAGCGGCGAATGGAGGAAGAGCACACCTGTCAGAAGTGCAGTAATACAGGGGTGGACTGACAACTCATGAGGGCCCAGGGCAATAGGGGATCATGGGGCCCCTGTGTCCTTGCCCACATCAAAAAAACTATGAAAAAAGGTACAGGGGCATCTCATGCAGCCCCTATTACTCGGGCATGCCCTGAGAATGACCAACTGACGCAGGGAAACGCAGACCAGATAGGAAGAGCTGCAGGAGAAAATCTGGCAACCTGCCACAATAAAAGCAGAGCAAGCGTCGTCGGTGAATGGTACAGGAAGGAGCAGAGATGATTCAGGGGGGCACACCTGTTCAGCAGGGGTAGTGCAGCGTAGTACAGAGGGCAGGCACTAGGGGATGGTCATGGGTCACATCAGAACAGGTAGCAAGCAAAGGTACAGAGGGTCAGGCAGAGGGATGGTCAGGAGCGAGGGATCATAGGGGGATCATGGGGGTCCCCTACAGGGCCCAGTGTCCTTGCCCAAACTCAAAAAAAACTATCATCAGTTCCAGGGTACCAGGTTGCATCTCATGGGCCCCCTACTGACCCAGGGCCCTCGGGCAGTGCCCGCGTTTCCAAATGGTCAGTCCATCCCTGGCAGTATACAACTTCACTAAGGTCTCATGTGCTTTCCTGCTAAATTGACACCTGTTGGCAGAATCTTCCAGCACTGAAACCAAAGGTTGCTTTTCTACTACCTATGTTACAGAGAACAAGAGACTCATTTTGCATATGAGAAGATGCTCTGCTGAGCATTCACAACAAACAAGATGTGTCATTTGAAGAAAAATCCTTGTGACTGTCTCTCTTTAATATTGCACAAAGAAATTGAAAAAACATGCAATAACTGAAGCAGGATCTTGAAACGAAAATAACAGAATATGGGATCCACTCATGCTAATAAAATGTGTGTTAGTTACCATAAAAATCATTATTTTCAAACAAGTGTCTGTTATTTTCAGCTGTGATGGCAAAAAAATGAGGTCACCTTCAATCATCAGTACCCCCTTCAGATCATTTAAAGCTATTTAACGCTCCAGAAAAAACACAGGAATTCACTACAGCAGCAAATCCACCCCTAAAGAATAATGGCCATGTCTGGATGGCTTTGCAGTTGAACAGTGCAAGAAATGATATACTTTAACAACCCCTCTCTATCTGCATTCAGTAGTATAAATCATCATTTTTCCGTGCTGTGGCCTGGGATCTTCATGGCTGGCTTGGCAAAATGCCTAAAAATTGCCCCAAGCTACATAAAAATTGTTAACAGGCCAGAAAGTGGATCAAGCATGTATTTTTGTTGCACGAAGCCACAGATTTTATTGTGTAGCATGACCACTTAGGGCTCTGTGTGGGACAGCTGTTGGTATCCCACTCAACTGATGATGTAATTGGTTGATAAGGAGTACATTGGTGCCTGCATCCTTTTTTGTCCCTCCACAGCCTCCCAGTCAGAATTGGCTAAGCAAGGGGTAGAGGGAGAAGAGATATGCTGGAATGCTAGTCAGTACCAGTGTGCAAAGGTGTATTTCCTTTGTAAGATTAAATCACCTCTAATGTTGGGTGTCCTACATGCGTGGATGTTGTTGCGTTATATAAAACTATTAGGTATTTTTTCAAATTTTAGAATGGGTGTCCAGAGAATTTTAAAGGGTGCCTTGTTGGAAAAAATTGAGAAACACTGGTATAAATTATTCCATTGGAATCATTAACCACTTCCCGTCAGGCCCATGTACATAAACGGCTGGACAGGAGTGCAGTGCAGGACCAGGTTGCCGTTCATAAACGGTGCTCACATTCACAGCCTGTGCACGCTCGCCTGTTCTCCGGACACAGTGGAACATCGATCGCTGTATGGGAAACTGTGATCACATGAATAGTAGTAAGCAAGATGTCACTTTCTGACATCATTGCTTACTACTTGTGAAATCTGTGAATGATCACAGAGGTCACATGGTACAAGGCTATTCACAACAGCCTTGTACCATGTGACAAGCTGTGACCAATCACAGCTCTCACAGTATTTCTCAATGGCTGTAAGAATGCAGCCAGAGAGAAGGAGAAATGATTGCTTTTACAGCCTTTATGGGTGTAAAAGCAATCAGTGTGAAAAAAAAAAAATCTTCATCACCCCCCACAAGTACTACAGTGTCACTATGGTGACACTGTACTACTAGGGTGACAGTATGTTAAAACAAACCCATAAATAATAATTGAAAAATTATAATTTTTGGTTATAAACTAATTTGGGTTTATGAAGAAAGATTATTTATTTGCAAAATGTTATAAGAAAAACACTTTTTTTTCAAAATTTTTGGACTTTTGCATTTATACAGCAAAAAAATAAAAATCCCAGTGCTGAATAAATACCGCCAAAATAAAGTTTTATCTGTCTCAAAAAAATGCAAAAAAATTCATATGGGTACAGTGTTGCAAGACCGCACAATTGTCATTCATTCTAAGTGTGATGGGGTAAAAGTGTCCAGACTTAAAGTGGTTAAAAGTGTCAGCATCCCAGTGCAGCTTATTGTGGTTTTCCACTACACTGTAACAAAACCCACTAGCCTTAAGGGGAATATATTAGCCATTTTAGAGTTTTGAAGGCTCATTCACACCTATGCATTATAATGCATGACCAGAGAAGTACCAATACAGTATTTTATTCTATCAAGAAAAGGTACTTGATGCATGTTGAGGGCATTGAAGATAATAGCTGACAATAGCAAAACCTGTTGTAATGCACCACTGCTTCTAACTAGTCCCACTACTAGCAACCAGACAATATTTTCTTTGCATATTCAAAAGAACCCCCAAAAACATGCATATGGCTGGTTCTTTACACATGGTAATGGGTATGGAGCCCTTGATAAAAGTGATTAGACAGGAAGGATAGTTATGACCTCCCCACCACTGACTATTTCACAGATAGATACTGCATAAAAGGGGTCTGAGATGAAGTGGTCAGAGCATTTTTAGCCTATAGGGCTTCTGGACTGTTGAGTCTACCCTAACCTTACTTACTGCTAGTGCACTAACTTACTGTTGTCTCGAAGCACTCACCAACCCCATGTGCAGCAATCACTTGACTGACATCACTCTGCCAATTCTTGTTTTATTTGTTCAAGGGGGAGAGAGAGTTACAGGCTACACGATACCCCAAAACAGCAAGACTATATTATCTCAGTATTTTCCGTCAGCGCAAAATCACGTATATATATATTTGCCCTACCCGCCCCCATTGGCAGCTAGGGATGTCAATCACCAGGTCCCAGCCAGAGATTCCCCGCCAGCACCCGAAAATCGCTGTGTAAAACTGATAGGGGAGAGACCTGTGTGCAAACAACAAAGGCCTCTCTCCTGGCTTAAAGGACATGCTGCTTTTCATTTCTCTGCACAGCAGAGAAATACAAATCAGCATGTCTCTGTAGTAGAACAGCACACAGCACACATAGTAAAAACACACACAGTTAACCCTTGGATCGACCAAAAGTTAACCCCTTCCTATCCAGTGTCATTAGTACAGTGTCAGTGCGTTTTATTAGCACTGATCACTGTGTTAGAGTCACTGGAGTTTTTAGTGGCAGCTAGTCAGTTCCCCCCCAGTGTCAGAATACCCATCTCAGTCCCGCAATAAGTTGCTGATCACCGCCATTACTAGTATATAAAAAAAAAAAAATTCCAGTAGACATAGACGCTATAACTTTTGCATACATCAATTAATTTACGCGTATTGAGATTTTTGTTTAGCAAAGATGCAGCAGAATACATTTTGACCTAAATATATGGACTAAATATATGACGAAATTTGATTTTTAAAATTTTTTTATTGGATATATTTTATAGTAAAAAGTAAGAAATATAGGTTTTTTTTCAAAATTGTCATTTTTTTGTTTATAGCACAAAAAATGAAAAAACAGAAAAACACCAGAAAAAAAGCTCTATTTGTGGGGGAAAAAAGACATAAATGTTATTTATGTACAATGTTGCATGACCGTGCAAATGTCAGCAAAAAATGGCCTAGTCAGGAAGGGGGGTAAATCCTCTGGAGAGCAAGTGGGTCAAGAATGAAATTTCATTTGTAAGTGTAAGTTTACCTTTTCAGAAAAAATAAACTACAGGGCAGGCTCACCACCCTCCAGTCCTTGGTATGCTTAGCTCTGTGGTTAATGAGCTGTCAGATTTCAAATCCCCAGACCGCAGCATCGTCTGTGCGAGCACTGACTGCTCATCACCCACAGAGGTAAGTACAGAGGGGACCATGGGGGTGGGGAGGCTGTAGGGAGTCAGTTCACCTTTAAATTTTTTCTGAAAAAAAATGAACTAACCCTTTAACCACTTACCCTCCTTAGGATTTACCCCCCTTCATGACCAGGCCATTTCTTGCATTATGGCGCTGCATTACTTTAACTGGCAATTGCGTGGTTATGCAAAATGAAATTTATGTCCCTTTTTTACCACTAATGGAGCTTTCTTTCGGTGGTATTTGATCGGCTGTGCGTTTTTAATCGTTTGCGCTATAAGCGCTATAAGCAAAAAAAGACCGACAATTTTGAGAAAAAAATAATATTTTGGACTTTTAAATATTAAACATGTCCAGTAAAAAAATGTATAAAATCTAATTTTGTCATAATTTTACGCAAAAATGTATTGTGTGAAAAGTTTTTGCTAAAAAAAAAATATCAGTACGATTTTTTTTTAATTACTACTAGTGATGGTGGTGATCAGTGACTTTTAACGGGACTGTAGCTGACATTCTGACACTGGGGGGGAACTAACCTTGTGTCACTGACACGCAAGTGACACCAATTCAGTGATCAGTGCTAAAAAAAACAATGACACTGTACTAATGGCACTGGACAGGAAGGGGTTAATGTGAGGGGCGATCAAAGGATTAACTGTGTGCTGGGAGTGTTTTACTAAGGGGCGGAGGGTGTGTTCTTCACTGTAAGCACACTGATCGGGATGGCTGTACAGTGTGCTTGAGCTGACAGGGAGGAAGATTGTTTGTAAACAAAAAAACTTCCTCCCATCGGAGATGCTCAATAATCACGGGTAATTACTGGCCAGGACCTGGTGATTGACATCCGAATGACGGCGCAGGTAGGGCGTGCACGCGGCTCACGCACGCCTCTACCTGGAATTGCAAAATGACATATATATACACGTGATTCTGCGCATAGTATATCTGATATAGTGCGGTCCTTAAGCGGTTAAAAACACTTTTTTTTTTTCCTTGAAGGTGTCAGTGCTGCTGCAGCACTTTCTGTACATTGCAGTGATGAGCCTATTCAGAGTCAGGGTTCCCCTAGGTATGCTGTTTAAAGGAATTGGGCATTTTTAATGTTTTATTATTTTTATTTTGCATTGGTACACTGTCCCCAGGGCAGTACCTGGGAATTTGGCATCCAAACTTCTTTGAGGTTGGCTGAACCCTACTTAAACCAAACCCAAGCCAGTTTGGCTCATCCCTATTCCTTACTACAGAAGTGATTACAATGTTTAAACAGTGCGTGAGCAGTGTTGTTTATTACAGATCAACTGTACTTGTGCATGCAGGTGTGTGAGTGTGCATTTGCAAACCTGGGTCATATTTCTAGATTTTATGCCAGATGTAAATTCATTTTCAGTGATTTCCCATCAATTTTGAAGGATTTCATAACTAAAGGATAAGAAACATTTAATGTGTTGTCCTAGTAGGGGACATGCATTTAGAAAACTAGTCTCCATTACTTTCAGCATTCCTGCAATTTAGAATCTCATAGGGGAATTTATAAGGAATTCTCTTTCCTTTGCTGGATATTCATCTGTCTGGATTTAACAGCATTTGGCTATCACTTTCAAAGATTCACTCTATGAGTAATGTTGTGGCTAATGGACATAATTTGTTTGATTTTTTTTTCCTCTTTATTAAATTTCCAATACAAAATGATACAACCACCCATTATATTTAACATACACCAATGTCATAAATCATTTTTATATTTTCTTACCTCCCACCCCACCTCCCGCAGACTCCCCTCCCAAATTACCCCAGTCCATATCTTAATTAACTTAAGTAACTTAGTTTTGAATCCTGTTATAGTTATCTATCCTTCTCTGTATCTCTTTCCCTTTCTCACCCATTTTCACTTTTCATATCCTCTGTCATATTCTCTCTGGATTTTTCTCCTCCTAACTCCCGTTAGATGTTTTAAATTCTAACCAACAACCCCACACTATCCCATGTTCTTCCTTTTTATCTTCCACCGCATGAAACAGCTCCTCCATCCTAAAAATATTTTGCACGATGTTTAACCAATCATTAATTCTTGGTGGCTCCAACACTTGCCAGAACTTAGGGATCATGCCCTTGGCTGTGCTAATTAGATGATATAATATCCTATGTTTATTATTAGTAGCTACAGGCTCTAGAAAATATGAACACATCCACGGGTCTGTTTTTATAATATTCCCACTGATTTCCTGAATGCCGTAAATTATTTCCTTCCAATACTCTTGTATTTTCGGGCAGTCCCACCAAATGTGTGCCATTGTACCCTTTTTAGCACAACCCCTCCAACACAAAGGTGAAGCCTTAACTTGCTGCTTGTACGCCACACTCGGTGTAATATACCATCTCATCAGACATTTATAATTAATTTCTACTGTGCTCATATCTGTCGCCTCATGTGTAAAATTAAATATTTTATTCCTTTGTTGTACCTCCAATGTTGTTCTAACTCCCTTTCCCATTTTTCTGAAAACCCAGGAAGATCATGTATGTCCTCTATCTCCAAAATCAGCATATCATATAAAAAAAAACTAGACATCAGAGAAAGTAGAAACACACAAAAAGAAAAAGCGTTTGAAGGTTGCACAGTCTGACCCGTGACTGAACAGATTCCCCTGGAGGAGCACTCCACAAGACAAGGGAGAGCCATATGAGTGGTAAAAAAGCTCCCCAACCTGTTTGGAATTGTAAAACTCAACAGCCTTGCACCCCTCCCCCTGCCTTTCCCTCCCACCAACCTTTTGTTTGATTTTAAATGCGATTGGCAAATCTTGTTTGTAATTGGAATCTCTGATGGAGGAATCTTGTTTGAAAATAAATGAGATTGGCCAAACTGGATTGTAATTAGAATTCTCTATTAGGTTGTATTCAGATGGGAAAATCTTGTTTGAATTTATATGTATTGGGAGAATCTTGGCTGTAATTATAATCCATCAGGTAATGATCCCACGGATAATGAAGGAATCTTCTAAAAATAATTATCTGAAAATTACAGGTAAATAAGGTGATTGTAGCCGTATTAGTGCATTTGCGGCAGAAACAATCGGGTACTGTCCGTGATACTTTTTTTATTTGCACTAACATGCAATTTTGAGGACAAGCTTTCAGGGAATGTCCGTTTTTCTTCAGGTCTAAGCAGCACTGATCACAAAGGTATAGCAGAATGTTAGAAGAGATGAAGGGGATGGAAAAAAAAAAGAAGAAGAAGAGAACAGAGATAAGACACAGCAAAAGAAAAGTCTCTGGGGGGGGGGGGGATTTCTAAAGGAAATCTCAAATCCATTCAGGAAAGAAAGACTTTGGAACTAAGAATGATAATTCTATTTGACACAAAAGATAACGGCCTGAATTTGGACATGGGATTCCTCAATCATTATCAAATAGTTTTTTTATCACCTCAAGCATGACTGCCTCTGTGAGTGTTGTCTTCCTCTCCCCCCAGACTTTGCTTTTGCTGTGTCTTATCTCTGTTCTCTTCTTCTTTTTTGTTTGTTTTTTTTTTTTTCATCCCCTACATCTCTTCTAACATTCTGCTATACCTTTGTGATCAGTACTGCTTGGACCTGAAGAACGGGAAATTCCCCGAAAGCTTGCCCAGGTAAATAAGGCAAATCTGAAAAACAGTTGATTATTCAGTGATTCGACACCAAAAGATATACATGCACAAGACCTGGATTTTCATCCTTATTACAGGCAAAGGTAATAGATGACTACAAGGGGAGCCCAGAGTTGGTGGGTTGATCTCTCCATCTTTTAAGGGAAAATGGGAATTTCAATGGATGCTGATCCTCCACATTTGCCAACAGCTGGTGTGTGGCTGAGACTGACTACGTGAGGCTTTTGCTCCATAGTGGTGCCATCTTGGGTGCGGTGTCATTTCTGTCTTTAGGTGTTTGGAAGCCAAAGAAATCTGAAATTTGTGGGCATAGAAACTCTTGGTTGCTTGCTGGTTACTTTATAGATTTTGGCATCTGGTGTGAGCTGCTTATGCCTCCATAGTAGGATCACCCCAGTTAGTTGGTGCAGAGATCAGCTTTGGTGTGTCTTTATGTTGACATTGCCAGACCATGCTACCTTATATCAATTGTAGAGTTGTACAGGTCAGTTAGTGCTCGTAAACTTACCTGGCTGTAATTTGCATCAAACTGTGAAAATATATGGAGTACGCTGTAGCTGTTCTAAAGGTGATCAAATGTATTTGCCCTCTAACATCTACTAACAGCTTGTTTTTCTTTCCACTACTATGTGTATAAAAAGACTTTCACTGTCTTCTCATCTTACAAGTGACTTTATATATATATATATATATAGTACAATATATTGTATGTTAAATAATACTGCAGATCTAACCATGGCTTCAAATACACAGACATCATATAATTGCACATGTTAACAAACGTCATTAAGGAAAGTACAGGTAACCACAACAAAATAATTACACAACCATATTTTCCACCTAGCAATTTTCTTATTTACTTGTGGGTTATTGGAGCTCAGAGGAACTACAGTCTATTTCAAACAGTTTCTGGATATGTCAAGTGCATTTTTTTCAGTTAGAGTACAAGTAGAGAACCAGAATTTTCTCCTAGCAGATTCAGGAGACAAAATACTGCTAAAAAAAAGGTAATATTTGTTTATACAGAGGGATGGATAATTTCCTTGAGTAAAAAAACGACTTTTCTCACCTGTTGTAATATAGATGGTAGACTATTTTAGAGGAGATGAGAATTCCAAATACAATGTAAAGATACTAAGAAACTTTGCCTTTATAATTACGGCTTTGGAATGGATAATGAATAAATTCCCTGCTAGGGGTCAGCTTAGGGTTTGGGCCCAATGTGAGTTTGGACCAAAACCCAGCCTTGTTAAAACAAACCCTGCTCAAATCCCTGGCTGCTAGAATGTGAACAAAGCAATTGGGGATCTTGGGAACCACATTGACCAAGTATGGTCACAACCATTGTTGGACAATGACATGAGCCAGGATTCTGTCATTTAGCAGTGGGG